TACTTCTAGTTATAAAGCAAAGAAACAAGTGTATAGTTATGATGAACAAGGATGCTTTTACAAAATTTTTAAAACTTGTGGTCCCAGGGGTTCTGTTGTTTCTCTGAGGGGGGGGGGGGGGGCTCTATTTGATAATATAGTGAAAATGTGTGAATTTTTTTAAAATCTTCAACTAATTGCATAGTTATGATGATGAGGGTACCTCTTCCAAATTTGTAAATTTTCAATATCTGGACCATTTAGGCAAGTGTTCTGGTCCTGGCCAGGGCTCTATTAATTTGTATTCTATTGAGTGAAGTTATTCCCCCTTGCCATTCACTTTTGATAATTAATCACTGTAGATAATGTATTTGAAAGGTTAATAGAATAAAAGAATTATGCAAGAACATTTATTGTATAATATAAAAAGTACTTTCATAGTTTTAATAATCGTGTAGACTTGGAAATAATAGATAAATAAAAATGAAACAAAAATAACTTATCTTCTTAAATGTTCTTCAAAGGTCAAGTGAGGCCAATGTGAGGGGTAATAATGTAGACATTTGTTAAAAGTCTGCATGGTAATAGTGATAATTGGGGGGCAGATAGAAAGATACTAGACCAATTATTTTGTTGATCTTAATCATACTAATTTTCTTGCTATTGGGTAACAATTAAAGCTTCATTTATCAGTTTATGGATCCTCTAAATTGTTGTACTCAGGTGACTGTTAAGGCCCTTGGGCCTCTTGTTGTATTTTGCAATAGCTATTTAAGATGTGCTATCTCCTTCATGTTTATTTCATTATTGATTAGTTTTAATTAATAACAGTTAAAAATTATCTTTGGTGACTGAAATTCCCAACTTTTTCAGAGAAATATAAGAAAAACTCTCTGCCTGATACCTATAGGAAGTTATTTTTTGATACGATACATTCCTGAATATTGATACGTATTGATTAATCAATATATTGACACAGCCCTAGTGCACTTGAACAGTACCATAAGCTTCTGAATAATGCAATGTATCGAATATCTCCTTACTCATTTAAATGCTAGTAAGCTTTCAAAATTGTCAATAATTCACATTCGAATATATTTGAATATTCTATAAAATAAATAAGTTCTGCTTTATTTTATATATGCATCACCCTACCCTCAGCTAGTACGTTTTATGTCAGAATTTCGGAGTAAAATTCAGAGAGAGTTTTGAAAGTGTATTATAGTATAATTATATTTTATATATCAATATTTAGAGGACTATGGTCACTATATGTTCATATAGCCCAAACATGATTCAAATAATTATATAAAAAGTGTAAAATGACTAATTGGTTGGTTAAGTAACCCAGGACGAGAATCAAATTATATGGGCAGGATTAACAATTAATGCCTGGAGAAAATTGTCTTAATTGATATGTTTTGAAAACGAAAAAACACATATCTTGGAAGGTAATATCCTGATAATTAGGGCCACACTCTGCAGTCACCCTATAGTGATCAATCCGTCCGTCCCTCTGTCCGTCTGAGGTCTCTTGTCCGGAGCATATCTTCTATCTCATTGGCCCAATCTGGCTCATACTTCACCCACAGAGTGTCTTTGAGTAAAGGGTGTGCAGTGACCTTGAACCATGTTTCTAGGTCTGAGGTTAAGGTCATAGCCAGGGTTCTCGATTCTCTATAATTGGGGCCGTTGAACGGCCCCATTCCCAATGCAAAAAATGTACCTTTTTTCCCCCAAAAAAGGTGTAAAATCAAATCAAAATCAAAATTAAAATCAAATGAAATGAACTTAACTGCCAAAAAAAAAAAACCAAACACAAGTGAAAGTGAAACAAATAGGCTCTATGTGTATGACTATTTATATTAGTTCACGTCGTATATATTCGTAAACTGGTTCGGGGAAACAGGTTATTATTATTACGGACTTGGGTAATGATGAGCATAATGCAAAGTATTATGTCTGACTCGATAGAATTGACAAGAAAACATTATCTAGGTGCCATAAAATAGACATAAAATAGACATTTTATTTAAACAACAGTAAGTTGATAATCTGTGATTTTGACATTGTTCTTTGTTCATGGTAATTTTAGCAAGTTGAAGGTCACTAGCATAAAATACCAGAATTAGTAGCACATGTCTGATGCAAAATATTGTTTGTATCATGATTCAGAAATCAGATCCAAGGTTATCATGGTAACATGAGAAGATATGGGGGGATATTACTTTTTTGGTTTAGCTTACTCACAGTTACTTTGATTTTTGATTGTCTAAGCTATCAGTGTTTTTAATCACCAGGAAGAAAGTCTTGAGAGTAATTTAGATATCTTCAGCATTGCATGTGGATTTCTGCAATAGCAGCTTGAACTTTAAGATCACCTGAGTCACTCAGGTTATCTATTGCTATCTGTTTTTAATGGTCAGGTAACTGTAATTACATGTGATAGATAAATAAAAATGGGACCAAAAAAAGCCTTCTCTTTGTATATAGAATTTTCATCAAATATCAGGAGAGGCCAAAGTGATAAGGAATGAAATAGTTTCATGCATTGTTGTTGTGTTTACCTTCAAGTTACATGGGGATGGTAGCAAATGGGGGAAAGCCCGCAAGGAAATATATCTACTAGAAGATTTGTTACATAGTCCTAGGCTAATTACTTTGTTGATCCCTGATCATTCTATTTCTCTTGCTTTTGGACAGCATAGCTTCATCTATCGGATTATTTTGTTTTTATACTTTTGTGGATACTTTAAAGTGTTGTATAATACTCTGGTGACCATTAAGGTCCTTGGGCCTCTTGTCTAGTTAGACTTGTCACGTGATTTTAGCACATATACTAACAGTATTGAGGTCACTTATAAATTTCAACAATGCAATGTCGTAACCAAATTAAACTTCTTAATTATGTTTACAAATATTTTCAACACCCATTGTAAGTATGTGAAAAGTGCTGCAATCCTATATATGAGGGGTGATCAAAAAGTTCGCGAACTATCTTTATATTTACAAAACCACAACTCAGATGACAATGAAATTTGGCACACTTATAGTCAAACACATTCTCTAAATAGCAGATGTTATATAATGTTTTGCTCCATGTTTATGATGTCACAATGTGAAAATGAAGTCAATATGTAGGTGACTTGTGACAAAAAAATGATTGACTCAGTCCTACTCGAAAAACGAACGGCTGTAAAGTTTAACATATATCTTGGAAATTCCTTTGCAGTAGAATATGATAATTTGTTCAAGGTTTGTGAAGACAAAAGGCTTACCAGAAGTTCAATCATTAATTGGATTGATTGTTTTAGTGAAGGCAAGGAGATGGTTAAAAATGATGTTTGTTCTGTTGCCAAGTGAAAGCAAGCCAGGGAAAAGATGTGTCCTAAGCTGAGCAGTTTGCTATGAAAGATCGTCAAGTTACAATTTGAAAAATAGTTGAATATCTTAACAATAGTATATTTATAAAATCCCTAAAATGTCATTTACTTTAGACTTTAAACATTTGAGATATGAAAAAAAGAAGGTGCCCATACTTTATCCACATTGGATAAACAACGCTCCCGGGACAGAGGACTTGGGCTGTGAGTCACCATGCTAATTCTAAGAAAGGATATCCTTATCCACCTTTCCTATTGCCGAGATTGGTCATTTCTGACAGCTGGACTATTCTTGTTATGAAAAATAGCTTGCATGGTAAGAAATATAAGACTCAGAACAATCTTTTAGCTTCTGTGAACAGACCGCTAAGGAACATATCACGTGACTGCCTGGATCACATGATTCACGCATGGGCAGAACAATGGCAGATGTGCATTAAAAATTGGAGACAACTACTTTAAAAAATAATGAACACTGAAACCTCATTTTATTTATTTTAGGGAAGTAATTTAATTAGTTCGCGAACTTTTTGATCACCCCTCGTAGATTATACTATTTCTTTGTTTAAATCATATTTGAATGGCTGCATGCTACATTTTTTGCTGGTCAACCACATTAAATATAGAAATAAATACCTCATTTTCAATATTTCACCAGGATCGCAGCACTTTAAATGGCTTGATATTTCTAGAGTTTATAAGTAAACACATACTACGAATGTATGCCCTTGCACTAGAACAATTTATTAAGACCCTTACATTACCCACCAATCTACCTGCACACAAATCTACGACAGTAATGATTAACTATGACATATACGGAAAATATTTGAATAAAATCATAAAAAAGACATTATATCCAAATTAATGACATCTTAAATATCTGCAAATAATATATTCAATTTTGCAAATAATATATTCAATTTTCAAATACATTTTTCATTGTAAAAATATTGCTTGTTCAGCCTCTCACTGCATCAATCTACTTCAAGTTTTACGAAATGACGTCACATCAACAAGGACATTGCAATCAGTGGTTTGTTTTAGATCTTGTTATATAATATTTAACGACAAAATGGCATTTTATAGTAGGTTTTAATGTAGTTTATTGTTATGGTACAGTTTTAAATCGCAAATTATATCACTTTGTGGTATTTTAAAGAATTGTTTGATTTGTGTGAGGTCATAGTTAATATTTCCCATATAAATTAGGCCCTGCCTCCTTTTCGTAGCATTAAGTGTGCTGCAGATTGGGAGGGGTGACAGGGGGAAGTGAGGAGGGAAGGAGTGGGACCATACAGGGAAATGAGGGAAAGGGTATCGATATGGGAAAGAGAGTTTGAAATTTGGAGGGAAGATTAGAAAGTGTGGAATGGGAAGAAAGGGATAAAGATGGGTTGGAATTGGGAAGGGAAGGATTGTAAGATAGGTTTGGAGAGGATAGGGGGAGTTATGGTAGGGAAAGGAATGGGGAAGTGGGATGGGATTAGAAGGGGTGAGATGGGAAGGGAAAGGGTGGGATGGGAAGGCTATGGGTAGAGGGGTTAGGTGAGATGGAAGGGGAGCAAGTGGGTGGGAAGGGTTGGAATGGGAAGGGAATAGGGAAAGGGTGGGATGGGAAGGCTATGGGTAGAGGGGTTAGGTGGGATGGAAGGGGGAATGAGTGGGTGGGAAGGGTTTGGATGGGATAGGAATAGGGAAAGGGTGGGATAGGAAGGGTACAGGTAAAGGGGTTAGGTGGGGTGGAAAGGGGAACGAGTGGGTGGGAAGGGTTGGGATGGGAAGGGAACAGGGAAAGGGTGGGATGGGAAAGGGATAGGGGAAGGGTGGGATGGGAGGGGGAGGGACTCGGGAAGGGGGGTAGGATGGGAGGGGGAGGGAGGGGGAGGATGGGAGGGAGAGGGAAGGGGGTAGGATGGGAAGGGGAGGGAAGGGGGTAGGATGGGAGGGGGAGGGAGGGGGTAGGATGGGAGGGGGAGGGAAGGGGAGGATGGGAGGGGAGGGAGGGGGTAGGATGGGAAGGGGAGGGAAGGGGGTAGGATGGGAGGGGGAGGGAGGGGGTAGGATGGGAGGGGGAGGGAAGGGGAGGATGGGAGGGGAGGGAGGGGGTAGGATGGGAGGGGGAGGGATGGGGTAGGATGGGAGGGGAGGGAAGGGGGTAGGATGGGAAGGTTTAGGATGCGATGTGTGATATGGTGGAGAATCCGATGTGTAAAATGGTGGAGAATCCGATGATGTGAAATGGTGGAGAATCCGATTTGTAAAATGGTGGAGAATCCAAGATGGTGGAGAATCCGATATTTGAAATGGTGGAGAATCCGATAATGTGTAAAATGGTGGAGAATCCGATGTGTAAAATGGTGGAGAATCCGATGACGTGAAATGGTGGCGAATCCGATTTTTCTAAAATGGTGGAGAATCCGATGTGTAAAATGGTGGAGAATCCGATGATGTGTAAAATGGTGGAGAATCCGATGTGTAAAATGGTGGAGAATCCACGATGTAAAATGGTGGAGAATCCGATGACGTGAAATGGTGGAGAATCCGATTTTTCTAAAATGGTGGAGAATCCAAGATGTAAAATGGTGGAGAATCCGATATTTGAAATGGTGGAGAATCTGATGATGTGTAAAATGGTGGAGAATCCGATGTGTAAAATGGTGGAGAATCCGATATTTAAAATGGTGGAGAATCCGATGTGTAAAATGGTGGAGAATCCAAGATGTAAAATGGTGGAGAATCCGATATTTGAAATGGTGGAGAATCCGACGATGTGTTAAATGGTGGAGAATGCGATACATGAAATGGTGGAGAATCCGATCTGTAAAATGGTGGAGAGTCCGATGTGCAAAATGATGGAGAATCTCATATGCAAATTGGTGGAGAATCCTTATCCAACATGTGAAATGGTGGAAATTGATGTGTGAAATAGTGATGAATCCAATATCTGAAATGGTGGAGAATCCAAGATGTGAAAAGGTAGAGAATCCGATGATGTGTAAAATGGTAGAGAATCCCCGATGTAAAATGTGGCGAGTGATTTGTAAGATGGAGAATGTGATTTGTAAAATTGCGGAGAATGTGATATGTAGATTGATGCCATTAATGGAGAATCTTACATGAAAATAATGTAAATCTGATATGTAAAATGGCAGAGATTCCAAACTGAATGTGAAATATGATGAAAAAAAGTTAAAAATGATAGAATTCAATGAAAAATGACTTTTTTATGTAAAGCAGAGAATCAAAGTCAAAAAATGTCCACAACCCTATGAAAGATACGGGTTAATTGAAAGAAGGAAAAGTGATAGGGTTTGGAAACAATGATAATAATATCATAAATTATTATTGCATTGGTTCTTCGGTGCATAAATAGTTCAATGAAATTATGTATTCATCATTTCTTAGCATTACATTAAAAGATAAAGTGAAGTCTTGGGGACATTGTTGATTTACTTCACTATATTTGTAATTTGTTACAAGGAATCATTTTAATATTTTTAAGAAATGGACAACAGTTTGAACTTTCAGTGACAATGGTGCTATGAACAACATTATTTCTGCAAACAATATTCCTTGATGCCCTGATCATTGAAATGGGCAATTTTTTTTTATAAATAAAAACTTGTATTACAAAAAAATGCCAATATTTCAAAATAAAAGATCACAAAAATTTGCTAAGAAGATGTTATTTATGTTATTTTCATTTTCTATGGGATATAAAATCAGTTTGCTATCTTCTTAAATTCATTAAATCACAGTTTGATATACATGCAGCAGTAAATTATTCATAAAGAATTAGTAAAATTTCCTCCAGGGGTGCCAAAGACCTTTATTTTATCTGCAAATTCGCTTTATGCATGTTCATACAGTGCCTATTAAGACTTTACCTAATGCTCCTTATTGAAAACATCTGATAACATAAGTATGAATCCAGATTTTCCAAAAATTAAAGAATTTTTTCTAAAAAATATTTTTATTTTGGCATTTTTTGGTGCAGTTTTAGCACTTCATGCATGTTCTACAATTAGCAACATTCAGATGAAAATTGTATATGTAGAAATATGGCACACTAAGGCCATCTTTAAAAACATGTTAGCTTGCCCTCTGCCAACTCGGGAATGAAAAAAAAATGGTATGGTAGGTAGGGAAATTTTTTTTATTAAAAAATTTTTTGAATATAAATAAAAATAGTAATAAAATGATGGGCAGGTACATTGTAGGTAGGAGACATTTTTTTTTATTAAAAAAAATTGAATATAAATAAAAATGGTACTAAATTGGATAAGAAAATTTTGGAATAAGTTTTGTGTAAACAAGAAATAATTGTTTCCTTAAGATTGAAACAAAAAATTTTTAAATAAAAATAGTAATAAAAAAATGGGCAGGTACATTGTAGGTAGGAGAAATTTTTTTTTATTAAAAAATTTTGAATATAAATGAAAATAGTAAAAAAAAAAAAAAAAAAAAAAAAAAAAAAATGGGCAGGTACATTGTAGGTAGGGGAAATTTTTTTTTATTAAAAAAATTTGAATATAAACAGAAATAGTAATAAATTGGATAACAAAAATTTTGGAATAAGTTTTGTATAAACAAGAAATAATTGTTTCCTAAAGATTGAAACAAAAATTTTTAAAATAAAAATAGTAATAAAAAAAATGGGCAGGTACATTGTAGGTAGGAGAAATTTTTTTTTATTAAAAAAAATTGAATATAAATAAAAATAGTAATAAATTGGATAAGAAAATTTTTGAATAAGTTTTGTGTAAACAAGAAATAATTGTTTCCTAAAGATTGAAACAAAGTTTGAAGTTGGGTCTTTTTTAGTCAGTCAGTCTGGAAAAGGCAAACAAACATTTTTGAGGCGAATCGCTAACAGCGATGTGACCTCATTGCAGTCGACCCCTATTTCTTTCTTTTCAATGACTGCGGCAACAAAGGACTCCACAATATTGATTCTAAATACGCCATTGAAAATAGTGCAAATGTATATTGACAAGTTGGTGATATTCATTGTCTATTTTAAATACCAAATAACATAAAATCTCACATATATATGTTGTTTATACTTTGAAAGCAACAAAAATAACAAAAAAGAAACAATTACAAAACAAAACAAAAATAGAGAAAGAGAGAAAACAACATACAAACACAACGCGGAGTAAGATCGATGCATCACAACAGCTCGTACCATAAATTATTAGGCCTTGTAATACGACATTGCTTGTACGAATATCTGAGAAAAATATACAATAATTTTATTTTATAAAACATCACTAACAATAGGAACAAGATGGTTGTTTTTATAAAAATAGAAGGGATATCATTATTTTTTCACTCGATGAAACGAATAGTAAGATGTTCAACTGAATAAATTTTTGCAACAAGCGCCACCTTTCGGGAAAAAAATTGCACGAGGAAGGGTGACACGAAACGGTGAAATGATCGCTTTTTGGTGAAATTTCAGTTGAATATGATGAAATATCTGATAAAAAATTGCAATGACAGTGGATTTTAATTTATAGGTTTACTAATACCGTAGACTTTTTTGTGTTAATTTATCGAAAATATCGGAGGAAATGTGTTTCATAGTATATTGTATACCACTCCCTATTGTTTTTTTTTCTTCAGTCCGAATTATATGAACATTTCATGTATCCCACTAATTGGTTTACGTACTATGCCATTTTGATTGATAAAACTAGTCTAAGACAAAGTATTGATATTTTAAAAAAAATGCTAATAATGAAAGAAACGGAAAAAATTCAGATATGAAATTATATAGAATTATTCAACAATCATTCATTTTTAAATTTTCGTTCATTATTTCATCTTTCTACCATGATTATAATGAAAGAATAAAAAAAATATAAAAGTATAATTAAAATCAATTATAGATTAATTTAAATTTCAATGAATTATAATTGATATATCAGACCAGGAACCTATATAATAGTATATAGGTCTCTGATCAGACTATCTTTAAAAAAAATCCCTCAAGGTGTATGTCGAATTTTTCTGAGTAAAAAAATTTTGAGTTTTCTACCTTCAGTGCGATGCGCCTCTCAGGCCTTCAGGCCTTTGATTTTTAAAGATGGCCTAATAGTAATTATTGTTGCAGTCTAGTCAAACTCATTTAAATATTGACATTAATGCAGGGGGGAGGAGTTGATCCTTGCGTCACAGATTTGTATCACACTGTGGGACGTGGAGACCAGTCCATTGGATGAGACCGTATAAAATGAGGTCCTGTGTTGCAGTAGGTGCTAGCACAAAAAAAATCCCTCGCTGCTCAATGGCCCTGAGTACCAAGTATAGGTCAAAATTTGCAGCTCTCCACTGGCAAGTGGTGGCATCTTCATATGAGTGAAAAATTCTCAAGAGGGACGTTAAACAATACACAAACAAACAAAAATAATGCAAGGGGGACCTGATGTGAAATGATAAATAAATTGATCATTTCCTCTGGTTGTTATATATAAGATGGAGAATAAGATTTATCAGTTTTTAGCTTTATTGGTCAAAGATAGAGGTGCTTAAGCATTGATTTGTCATCCATCTGCAATATTTTTCAAAATACTTGCCAGGACACATGTAGCTAGCATTGGCTATTAGTTCAATTTATGATGTTTAAAGGTATCTCAAAATTGAGAACAGTGTGTGAAGTGTTAAGCAAGTTGAGCCAATCAAAAGCTTATCATCTCCTATGAGTGAAATCATTTTGTAATTGTTGTAAAGACTAAAAAAAAAATCGATCAATAATAAGGCAATGAAAAAATATCTTTGCCACTAAGTTATTAGACCCTTGTTTCCTTTGGGAGGATCATCAGGGCTCTCCGGGGTCTAAGAGAATCTAAGAAATTGTGTTCCTGTAAAATGATTTTGACACTTAATTGTGCATAATTTGTTACTGATGTGAATAGTTTATTGCACATGTGAATGTAAACGGAATACCTCTATCGAGTTTGTTACTAAATAAAATATTTAAAAAGAAAAGTTTTCATTTTATTGCTTGCAATCAAGGTGCTACAAATGCTTCTAAATGACATATTCTGAATATTTTTAACTCACTTGAGATGGAAGCTCGTTTTCCTTTCTGATCACATTTCCCTCTGTCTTTAGTCACCATAGTACACCCGATAGACCGGACGCAGTTCATAGCGCTCCGGATTTCTTTCTTCAAAACTGTTTAATAACTTCAAATTAAACATGTAACACTGTAATTATTTAGTGTTTGGTAGTTTAGTATAGTAGTGCTAGTTGTTTTTGTTTCTCTGTTTCCTTTGTTTTTATGACTTCTTAACTTTTTTCTTTGTCCTGAGGAAGGGACAGGTCGTCCCGAAAATTTGACAATTTTTATTGTTTGTGTCGTTAGTCATTTTTAGTGCTTTATATAAATTTCCATGCATCCGTGACCTTGTATCTACTTAGCAGATCCGACACTAAGGATATACAGTGTTGTTGGTTTTTTAGTGTTATATAGATATAAGTGAAAAGTTTAATTAAAATATCTACCCTCCTTCTTAATTTTAACAAGAATAATTTTTTTTTATACTTTGTTGGTCTTCTTTGTGTTTAGTAAAAGAAAAAGCATAAAAAATATAGTCCGTTTTTCATGCAGTTTTAGCCCGATATTCCAGGCAAAGTGAAGACATTTTCCTTGTCTTGGTCAACTCTTTGTACAGAACAGTACAAGGAACCCTTTTGTGTACGTAACAATACCAACTGAAGCAGCTTTTATGCCATTCGTATAAATAAGTCATAAATCGACAATTGGTTGATCGTTTTTCACACTTGAGATACTAGTGCCTGTCCTTAAAACACAGCATCGTACAAGTCAATTAATAATAATTTAATTTTTTTTTAAATTTTATTAAATCATTAAATGTAGGAATAGATTACACTGTATTTTGAGAATTTCACGCACCTACAGGTATAAATCAATCTATCAAATGTTTTTACCATATGTGCAACTTCAATGGTTAGGTTTGTTTGTTTGTATGTTGTTTGACGTCCCTCTCGAGAATTTTTCACTCATATGGAGACGCCACCACTTGCCGGTGGAGAGCTGCAAATTTTGTCCTATACTCGGCACTTACGGCCATTGAGCAGTGAGGGATCTTTTTCGTGCCAGCATCTACTGCGACTTGGGACCTCGGTTTGTACGGTTCCATCCGAAGGATCGGTCTCCACGTCCCACAGTGGGATTCGAACCCGCGACTTAAGGATCAACTCCTTACTCCGCGACTCCAGAGCAGACGCTCTAACCACTGCGCCAGGCGGGCGACCAATAGTTAGGTGAAAGGCCTACATACTAGGAAAAATATCTTTTAAAGAACGACAGGGCCATATTTGACTCGGGTAGGCTTTGTGGCCCATGGGCCTCTGGTTGGCTCGCGTGAGCCGAAGACTTGAGTGAGCATTTTTTGATCACTTTCTGTCCGTTTGTAGACTTTTCACATTTTTCTACTCAAGAATCACTGGGCCATTTTCAACCGAACATGCCTCAACGTGTTCTTGGGTAAAGGGGATTTAATTTTTTTAAATGAAGGTGCACGCTTTTTCCTAGGGAAGAATTGGGGAATTTCAAAATAATGACATATTTTCAGTAAAATCTCAAGAAACCCTGAGCGAGAAAATATAAAACATATGGAAGCATCCAATGGTGGTGTAGATTCAAATTTATTCAAATCAAGAACCCTGGGCGAAGGGCGGGGCCACTATAGGCGATCATAGTTTTACATAGGAATGGGGAAAATCATTAAAAGTCTTCTCAAGATCATTAAAAGGGGATGCTCACTCCTCCATGGCACCTTATCCCACCTCTGATGTATTATGTATTTGTGGTCTGTGTTTGCTCTGCTGATTTGTGATGTTTGAATGGACTTTTGAGCTTAAATAGTGTTCTTTATCTCCATATATTTCATTTGTCATATTTATATATGGAAGGTAGTGTAGATTAAAATTTGTTCAAATCAAGACCCAGTGGGGTAGGGAATTACCAAAACGGGCGATCAAATCAAGATCATGAGGTAGGGAGAGGCCACAATGGGTGATCAACGTTTGACATAGGAATTCCGAATATACTAAAAAAAAAATCTTTTTCTCAAGAACAGGAAAGCAATGTTCGATCACATTTATAAAGAAGCATCTTTGGGTATTGTAGAAGTAGGGGAAAACCAGAGTTTGGGCACAGTAGCCTCCTATAGAGTTTATATGGGATAGCCTCCCAGTAACCTCCAGGTAGTCTCCCAGGGTGTGAGGCTAATTATGATGTCATATTTTTAATTAGTTAATAAATAAGTTATCCTTATGAAATTAACTTAATTAGTCAATATTTATAAATATTGATTATGTATTTGAACACAGTAGCCTCCCATAGAGTTTATATAGGATGGCCTCACAGTACCCTCTAAGGAAATAGAGCTAATTGTGATGCAAGATAATTATTCTTATCAATCATATTTACTAATTAGTCTTTTTTTTAACCATTCAACATTATTGATTTATTAATTATTATGATTAATGATTTTTAAAATAATATATCTCATTGTTTAAAACAAAGATATCATACATTTTCCTTTATGTTTGTATATCTATTGAGTTACATATCAGATTATATTTATGTAGCGATGATGGTAAGTTATAAAACACCCATGAATCTCCATTGTTAATTTTTCATTACACAATACATAATTATTTCAAACCCATAAATGTTTTATAATTCATAATCATTAAATATCTAGCTTCAGTATGTAGAACATATGTGAACACTTGTCTTGTGTATACAGAACCCAGTGTATTTAAAATATTACCCAACATTGCAGTATCAACATTCATTGCAAATTGTTCGCGTTCTATTGGACACTCTGCCTTCGAGAAAATTTCCCGCAAAGCTTTGGCAACGTAAATTCCTTTCTTGTCTTTCAATGGACGCATCCACAAGTACTTTGATAGGACATCAATAACGACCATTACATACATGAATCCATCGTTGTACTTTGCAAACTTGACAATATCCTTGAGATCTGCAGACCATTGGTCATCTATACCAGTCACCATTATTTTGTTTCGTTGAAAACGTCTCCGTAGGGGTTTTTGTAAGCTGTAAACTTCTTGTTTTTGCAACCATTTTCTGATTTTATATTTGCTTATAACATATTTACCATCTTTTCTCATATATCGGAACAATTTGCCTGGTCCCGAAAAAACTACCAGCATTTTTTGGATTGTAATAAATTTCTTGTAAATAGTTCTCCCATGACATCTTTCCTCATCATTCTCCAGCGGTAAAATGAATGAACAGTTCTATATTACATAAAGGATGACTGCACTTAAGGACATACGAAATTTGCGACAAAATAAACTTTCAAAACATGAATTTTTCTTTTCATTGCAAGAATGGTCAACATCCAATCTACAACTTTATGTAATTACGTTTAATAAAAGTGTGTATTTACGAAGTTCGAATCTGTTTTCAAAGGCAGGGGTCATCACAATTTCTTGAATCTCCGTTCGATAATGAGGACGCCCACTTTTTTACTGACTTTATACATAGTCAGCGCATGTTTGTCTATTGTTCTACGCTTAACAGTAGTTGCATATTTGCATAAATAATAATGTGTCAAAAGGAGATTAATAGACAAACATGCGCTCATGGTTAAAAAGAGAAAAAAACTGCTTCTTCTTACATTCGCTCTCTGTGTTGTAACCAAGGATTGTGACTTGTTGAATATTATAATTCACCACGTGATTTCTTACCTCAGGTAACTTTGTGAATACTAAATTCCGTCACGTGACTTGTAAGGTAGCATGTTTGTGCTAACTAGGACATTGTGTTCGAACACATTAAGTCATCTGGCATTGGTATATAATCTGCTTTAATTCGTTGACATGCTCATATTGTTAATTTTGTTTTGAAGCTTTTGTCAGAAGTGTATTTGTGCCATACAGAATGGAGAGGGAGATTGGAAAGAGTGATCACGTTCTTTTTTCCAAACATGTCATTGTTATTTATCAAGTCTAATTTTAGAGCCATTCTTACAATGTTAGCTCCACCTCTCATGCATATCTAATGTTCAATCAAGGGCAGGTAAGTGTAAAGTCACTATATTTGGAAAGCAGTAAGGACAAAAACATTGAATCATTTTATTGTATCACAGTCTACAATCATTTTAAGATTTAAATTTGGTTCCAAATTGACAGGATTCTTTCATAAACATACAAAAGTGAAATAAAGTTTAGATATAAAAGCAACAGAAGCAACCGAAAAAGACCCAAAAATAGGCGTTTAGTGCAGTCATCCTTTATAGAGCACAATTTATTCACCATTTTCACCTCGGTTTCATCCTTAGAATCCATGTCATCATTTTCATCCTCATCCTCATCATCTGTTAAATACATCATTTCCTCAAGGAGATGTTTGTACTTCCTGAGAGCAATACGAACAGCCGGTAAATTTTCATATCCCTTTTTAAGGAACTTTTCAATACTATTCATTATTTTCTCGTGGATCAGTCCACCTTTCAAGTCTAACATGTCCAGAATAGTTTTTCCATACAGGTCCAAAAAATGCGATAAAATTGGTCTCCTGCATTTTGTTATTTGCTTTATTTTCTGCTTCCATTTTAGACAATCCCTCTTTTCGATATTTTTTTTAACTTTTCAGACCACGTATCCTCATTTTTAACCTTTGATATTTTTTTCATTCTTTTCAAGTAGTCTTCTTCTGTTGATGCATTAGGAGAATCATCTTCAAAGTCCATTGCGTATTCATTTGACTGAAAAATATGCGGCTTCTTTTTTAGTGGTTCCTCATGATCATCCAGAGGAAGTTGTCGTTTACGATTATCATTCTCCAATCACCATCTCTTGATATGTTGTTGGAGGTCATGCGTACTATCAAATACGAGTCCACAATCATCACAAGATGCCATCACAAGACCCAAAGATGAATCAGTGGATTCAAAAGTTTGACTCTTTACTTCACCAGAGCTATTTAGAAGCATCCTTCCTTCTTCGGAAGATCTTTGCAAATGACTTGTTGTCTCTGGTTTGTGTTCTTTTATAGGCATATCTGTGAAAATTTCAGTGCGCATGCGCATTGATTCAGGCGTTGTTGGTTTTAAATCTATTAAAAGATATCCAAAGGGTTTTTCCGTTGCTTCTTTGAAATGCCTCATTAATTGCTGGGAATTACCAGGATACATCTGTCGAGCCAATGTCATCACTTGCTGTTTGTCTATTGGATTTTTAAACAGAACAAGATAATGACAATTTCGCCTTTGGTTGGATCTTTATTGTAGAACAAGTTTTGGTTAATAGCGATGAAAGGTTTCTGTGATGGCTCCTTTCCGTAAACAATTCATTGATTCGGGAATCCTTGGAGGCGCTTGACATCATATCATCTAAAATCAGCACATTTCTTGTTTGAGGATTAAAAAAAAATATCCTCTTCCAAATCCATTGGTATTCCTCGAATGAATTCAACGCTGGGGAAACCGTGTCCCTTATGACGTCATATAAAGGTTGCCAACGTTTGTAAAGCCAAATTATTCGTTCAAGTGGTGGAACAATTTTGGTGTAACAGTTCTGCAAGAGTGATTTAACAAAATAAGTTTTTCCACAGGAGGTTAGTCCCGATACGTTTGCGGTGAATGCATGTTTAAATTGAAAACTCTGCTGCTGCTGCTGGAGATAGGACTCAGGAGATACTGGGTATTCCTACTGCTGCTGTTGCTGGGGAGATATAAAGAATTCTTGCTGCTGGGAAGATATGATGAATTCCTGCTGCTGTTGTTGCTGCTGCTGCTTGGAAGATGTAATAAATTTCTGCTAATGCTGCATTAGCGATATGATGAATTCCCCCTCCTGCTGCTGCTTGAGTATATGAGACTTTTGATAATGATTTTCTGAAGCGTCGTTAACTTTTTTCTGCTGCTGATCTGCGGTGTGCTTTTGTTTCAGGTGACGCTGTAAATCATGAGGCCAAACATACGTTCTCAGACAAATTTTACACTGATTCATGATGGTTGATGTTAACTCCTTGTCTGTAGAATATAAAGTGACTTGATTTATTCACGCTCCTCTTTATATAGACCTTTGCTTTGCATCATGGGAAGTTTTCCAATGTCCAATGTCCATGAGCCAATGTGTGAATTCCATCGCTCAATATATAGCGTTTGTCATCAAAAGTTATACAATTTACAGTATCTTTGTTCACATATCTTTGTTCTCATTTTCACCACCTCCAATCTGGTTGTATTCCATAGTTCTTTCTGTGGAATTATTTGTGCATGTATCATCGTTAAATGTGGAATTCGGGTGTTGATTTTTGAGATGGAGGAGCAAATTATCCTTTCGGTTAAACTGCGTATTGCAGGTATTGCAGTAGTGTTTTAAAACTTTGTGTGAAGTCCTCATATACGGCGGAACATACTGGAAGTGTGGGCAAATATTTTTCTACTTACATTACAAATGACCGACTTCATCTTCTCTAAAGTTGACAGACCTGAAAGGTAATAACTTAAAATTATCAATTTTCAACATTGACTTTATTTTTAAAATATTTTTTCAACATTGAGATCTGATTAAGAAAAGTAAGCGGATTGTTTCAAGGCTATTGCACGGCCATCAACATCCCTGTCACCAGGGACGGAGCTCCGCCCACCGAGGTAGGCTCATATGAACGTAAGTCGGACATTTCTTCCCGATAATAACGGGGACGTGTTACGTTAAACACTCTCATGTCCGTTGTGAGCTAGTAACACCGCCCTATATCGGTACACTTTGTTCATATGCAGCAAAGCCTCAGATCTCAATATAATATAATGTTTCTAAATTTAATCATTCTTCAAATTACATTACACGTTAAATATTATTTTATTATTATTGCTGTTGTTGGTGTTATTGTGTAATACTTAGAAATTTAAATGATCCGCAATCTGTCGGTACACTCCTAAACCACTGGATAACTCTAATGAAGTTCGTTCTTCAATTTAAAAGAAAAAAAAATAAGTAAAAGATTATGCAAAAGTTTGCTCTATTTAACAATTTTAAAAAATAATCAAAACTTATTAAAAAGGTTCTAAATGAATTTAAAATTTTCTTCTTTTTAAGTGAGGATTGAAGTTAAAGCGACTTACCTGATTTGAATTCGACTTTTGCACTCGGCGAGCAGCGAGATAAAAAAAAAATTAAAGACAAGCATGTCATATATGGTTGTGTAGACACATTATCGTAGAAGACATGGGTATAAACAGTTTGCCAGTGCATTTCCTCTAAAAGTGTAAATGAGTGCGATTCTGGGGAAGGGGGGTACTCCATGTAATTCTGAGTTGGATACCTTGTGTTATTATTATACTATGGGTCAAAAATTTATTACAGAAACAAGTGCCTGTGCTCCTGAGAGCATAGTAGCAACGAACCCGAAGTACAATTTGTACTTCGTAATAAATTTGCTTACATGAAAAGAGAAAATTAATGAATAAGGTATTTTCAAATACAATTAAAACTGTTAAAATTTTGTGCTTTGATCAATACATCTCAGTTTTTATTCTGAAAACAGTTTAATGTTTCAAAAAAAAAAATCAATTTATCATTGAAATGTGCATATTCGCTGCTTTATCCTTGACAGAAATGAAATAAGAACACCTGAAGTACAATATCCATAAAATAGTATAACAGGTTTCACAATAAACGTCAATTAATGAAATTGTTATTTTTCAAAGGGGTGAGAGTGGGGGGAGGGTGCTGACGTACATCTACGTCTGCTTCAAAGCTAAATGCGGGATTTTGAACAAAGTATTTCTTCCTGCTATAAGCCTGTAGGTTGTCGATAGAAAGTACGATATATATTACTGAAAATTTTCTGTGGTATAAATTCAATTCCCCGCGTTTGCGCGGGATTTCATCTAGTGGTTTGGTAAAAAAAAAATAGATTGACATTTGGTTGAATGGTTTTCATTGGTTGAGAAGAAAATTTCAACTAAGTCACTGTCAGACTTGTAAGGCTTGAAAAAAAAAAACGTGTATTAAGAATGTACACATGTAAGGCTGGAATTTAAGTTCCATGACTTATAAGGCAATCCTTACTATGTATATCGGCCCTTAGTCATAATTCAAAGTCTGCATCGTTTGATTATAGTCATTCAATGTTTGAAGGCGCGGATCCATGCAGGATTTTTTTTCCGAGGAGGGGGGGGGGGTCCAGCCGAGTAATAAAAATTCCAACCCAGAAATTTCTTCACATGCCAAAAAAAAAAAAAAAAAAAAAAAAAAAAAAAAAAAAAAAAAAATTAACTGCTTTCCCAAATATATCAAGTCTATATGGAATTCCATATACGACAGCCAACTGCTTACTGCCAACTGCTCACTGCTTACTGCCAACTGCTCACTGGTACTGCCAGCTGCTTACTGCCAACTGCTATTGGTTATAGATGATATTGCCTGTTTTGTTATCTTCCAACAACCTCCACGTTCAATTTTCAAAAGTGAACAAATTTGAATGATTTTTCATATTTATATAAATATTTATAGGAATTTTCATAAAACATAACTTATTTGGGCAAACAAAGAGTTGTAAGTCTTTAATTTTGGTTAAACTTGAGGTTTTCACAATAGAAAACGGAAAAGGGAAATTTATCTTTAAAACAACCCCCCCCCCCATCTCCGTGAATCAACAATTTCTCTTTACAGGTATTATGAATTGTTATTTCACAAATTCATACCTAAAGGTTTTGTTGTTTCACGTGGGGGGGGGGGGGGGATATTACCGACAAAAAACAGGAAAATAGTCATTTTATTACCAATTTCAAATGAGTTAACAAATAAAAATAAATGTGCTTTATCAATCTGATATGTTGAAGTATTTGAAAATCTGGTGATGTTTTAAAGCTTTATTTCAATTGATAAACTTTTCTACCCCCTTAAAATGTAGTCTGGAATCGAGAGTGAGCGTGCGTAGGTCATAACAAAAACTGGCGGATTTAGAAATTTTTGAACTGTGAAGGCGAGGAAGGAGTAAATCGGAAGAAGGAATGTTTCCTCTTAAAAACAAAACATTTAATCCCACATTTCCTTACAGGCAAATAATTCAATAGTTTTTTGAAGCGGGAAGGGAAGGGGGGGGGGGGTATCCAGTACTATCTTTTAGTGTTTCTTTTTACCTATGAAAAGTACCTGTATTTGTGAATTTTTATATGTGTCTTATTTACATCGTTCTTATGGCTAATGTCAGATCTGTAAAAATATTGGTGGTGGGGCTGGCGCGGCTAGGATAAGACTGTCCGTAAAATATCAAATGATTATGATTTAGATGTCATGCTAAAAAATCTCTGTAATAGAGGAAATAAAAGATAAACGAATGAACCCAAGATCCTACTAAGAGTTTGTCCTCCACCCCACCCCCAAAAATGTTTTCTGGCGTTATATAAAGATTTAATCTCTCCCCCGTCAAACAAGAGGCCCAAGGTCCTTAACGATCACCTGAGTATAATACAACAATTTAGAAGTTAAATACACTGAGGGATGAAGCTTTG